ATCTTGAGTTCTGGAGGGTACACATGGGGATGTTTTATGAAGCTTATGCTACTCTGAACGTTGCAAAGAACACTGATGTTGGGCGCCTTTGCCCAACCCTACAGCTACACCCTCATGGTTGGAAGGTAAGCAGTGAGATGGCCAAGAAGAAGATAGCAAAGAGGGTCATGATCCCATTTTTCACAAAAGTTTAAAATTAGGTTTCGTTACCATCAGCTATTCCATTGACACTGATCTTACTTTGGGGGAACCTCTTGTTAGTAAGGACTGGCAGTCTTAAAGTCTGCACTGAAACAAAGCAGCACATGAAACCAAAGCAAAAATATACAGAAAGAAACAAAACTGGCAAGAACAACTGGTTCTCCCAGCAGCTATTATGACACTACATGTATGACATGGCTGCCTCAATAGACCTTTAGTGCACCCGAAAAAGCAGCTGGGAAGCTTGTTCCCCTGATCATCAACATATGTCAATAGCTAGTCATTTTCTCTTAAACAGTGTGTACAGAAGTTGCTTTCCTTGCCATGTGAAGTGCTTTATTGCCATGACTTAACAGAAGTGCGCAGCTTTACAGCACTTTAAAAATGTTTACAGCGCTTTAAATATGTTTACAGCACTTTACATCAACACTTGTTAAATGAGGTATTAAATTTGAAGTGCATTTTAACAACCTTGGGCACTTTAAGTAACTGCTGTATGCTGGTCAAATTTCTCTTGATTCTGTCCGTATCCCATGGGCTTTGCAAGCTGCTGCCCAGCCCTGTGGCAGACGTGGTGCCCATTCCCAGCAAAGCCAGCGGGGAGGGAGGAGTGTGAAAGGGACTCTCTATCTCTTTCCCCCTCACCCTGCATGGCTTGTGGGGTGACCAGGTGCTTGGACACACACACACATACACCCTGGAGCTATAGGGGAGACCAGATGCTTGGAGCTGGACTGTTAGCCAAGCTGCTGCCCAGCCTGTGCCAGAAGCAGTGCCCACTCCCAAACACTTCAGGTGCAGGTGGGGGTAGGATGATATCATAAGTGGAGGGAGAAAAAATGGGGGGGCAGGGCCTGAACGCGCATGCATGTACACACCGCCCCCCCACAGGCAAGTCTGTGGTGGAAGGGGCAGGGGGAAGGAAAGGGCCATGGTGGGGAGAGTGGGGCTGGGACTGGGCAGGGATCAGAGCAGAGTTGAGCCCAGGATCGGCGCTGAGGCCTACTGTACCCGTGTGGCTGCCCCTCCCCCCACACCTGGGGTTGTTGCCCAGTGCTGGCGGCCCCTGTGAATTCATCGCCCTGCCCCAGCTGCCTCCCTGCACTGGCCCCAGCTCCAGCCCCTGCCCCTGCCCCTGCCCCACGACACCCAGGGGGGCTCGGAGCCGGGGACCGGAATGGAGCCAGGGGAGGGAATGTGCTCCCTCCCAGCTCCCCTGTGGTGCGCGCAGTGGCAGGAGCCACCCACCCACACCCCTGGATGAGCCGCTGGGCTTGAGTTGTGAGGCAATCCCCACAGTGCAGCAGGGAGTGGGGCAGAGGTGAGTGATTCGCCCTTGCCCCTACCCCACTCCCTCCTGCACTGTGGGGGGGGGTCTTGATCTGCCCCCCACCTCCCAAGCCCATGACATGCTGACATCCCAGTTCCGCCTTCTCCACTGGTCTTCTGCTGTCCCCAGTCCCCTGCAGTCCCAGGAGGCTGCAGAGTGCCCGCTGCCTCCTAGCCTGGAAAGTGCAGGGAGGGTCAGAAGCCCTAGCTCCCTCCCCTCCTTCCCCTCCCCCACTAAACACTACACTTCTGACATGTTTAAGAGTAATGTAACTTTATAGTGCTATAAAAAGTTCTCTAAATGACAGTGCTGTAAAGTGTGAGAAAAGCACTTCTGTACACACCCAAAGGTTCCCGCTCTCTGGGCTTACACATGGAAATAACAAGAGAGGTTAAAGTATAAAAGAAGGCAAGAACCATACAAGATGGATGCTCAGCAATGTAGTGGGTTACAGAAGCCACCATATACCATGGGGATTGACACAACCTAATTAGAAAAGGTTGGATAGAACAAATTAACTCAGCATTCAGGTGCTCAGAGGCACACTACTCTTACTCTGATCCCTGTTTCATGATTAGATTCGAGTTCAGACACTTTCAGTCTGGCCACCAAACATTTACCTGGTAGTTTCTAGTGGGTCAAATGGAAATATGCCTAATTATATTTGCAGCAACTGCCAGTATTCTTTACCTCCTGTCTTAAACTGTGTCACACCAAAGATGGCAGCATTTTAATGGTGGTGAAAAGGCCCAGGTCCAGAGCCACAAAAATATTATATCCAATAACTGTTTAAGATACATAAGCAGGTTGAGAATTCTGGATTTTTGATATCCGATTCATGGGGTTATACTGTACCTGTATTTACCTGTACTAGAAAATGGCACATTAGACAAATCTATTATAGGTTGCCTTCTGAGTCTTCTGTCTTTTATGTCTTTCAGCCTCCTGCTCGAAGATCGCTTCAGACAGGACATAAGGAGAAACTTTACAATTTGCGTGCCTAGGATCTGGAACAGACTCCCCCAGAGGTGGTACAATCACCTACCCTGGAGATCTTTAACAAACGACTTGACGCACAACTTGCGGGGGTCATCTGACCCCAACCGTCTTTCCTGCCCAAGTGCAGGGGGCTGGACCTGATGATCTCGCGAGGTCCCTTCCAGCCCCTAACATCTATGAAAGTAGGATGATCTTTCCCATGTGAGCGCTCTAACCATTATTAGTCATGCTTCTGCTCTTTCTCTCTCTCTCTCCACCCATTGAATCATTACTGCTTTTATGCACAGGGAAACAACTTCAACAGAAAGGATTCTGTTCCGGGGGTCAGACTCGATGATCTATTGAGGTCCCTTCCGACCCTAACATCTAACATCTATGATTTAAAGCGCTCCCACCACAAAATAGCCTGCAACCTGAAGACTGGGGCATGCTCCTGGGAGCTGCGTGTTTCTGTCCCCTGAGGCAAATGAGGGAATTGAACTCAGGAATCCCACATACTGCTTTGCAGCTCTAACCACTGAACTATTTTATAAAAAGGTGACCCTAGTACCAATTCAGTCAAAGTTTTGAAGAAAACCAATGGCCTTTTTTTGCATGTTGTATGGAGTCCTGACTGGTAGGTGTCCTCTGAGTAGATCTACAGCATCTAAATGACTGGCACTTAATGACTGGCCTTCACTTTGAGTCCGATTCCCAGGTAGACTGTGCAAGATGAACAGGTTAAATGACCTTCTAAACCAAATTATTTTGGGTGGAGGGCCGCTTACTGAATTTTGGCAAGCCATCGAGGGCCGCATGACAGGCAGCCAGGGGCAGATAAATATTAACCTTCTAAATTTTTTAGGGGCCCCCGCGGGCCAGATAGAACGGCCTGGTGGGCCGCATGTGGCCCGTGGGCCGCATTTTGGCCACCCCTGTTCTAAACTCAGAGACAATGCTCATGAAACTCCACACCGTTGTTTTTCTCAGTTCACTTTTCAGCTTGCCTTTCCAACTTGCTTTTCACAACTATGCTCAGCATCTCAGCCTAGAGAAAGCATGTATATCTGACTTGGGAAGCCTGAGCAATAGTGATTTGATCAGAATGACTGCAGACCCTTCGAGCGCAGTTAGAACAGGTAAATGATGCTGCTGTTGCTACATAACTAAACTTTGAGTTAAGCCAATTAAAATTCCTCTGTGTCCAAATGACATGAACGCCTGACAGCTCTAGCAATGTGTCTTGCTGACTTTGACCTTGAAGTTTCATACACCTTCCACTCATGAAAGGCTCATTAATCTTTAACTCCTGGTTAAGCCTGAAAAAATATATTTCAAACCCTTCTGAGTTGCAACACCTCTTGGCGCAGCTGGGACAGAAGTATGGCCACAATTGCCTGCCTCACGATATCTTCAGCTTTCTGCTTGTGGATCTGGTCTTCCGCTGGTGGACGTGGGCTTTAGTGCCCGGCCAGAGCAGGTGCTGATGCCCAAGCAAACGTGTTCAGATTAAGGTTTCAGACAACTGTCTTTATTGACCTGAGATCTCTACTGACAAGGTCACTCTCATTTACGTTTCATGCAGTTTGGTGGTACATAGGATCATGGCAAAGTGGGGCTGTAAGTGACCTCATGAGGTCATCTAGTTGAGCCCCTGCTCAAGGCAGGGTCGTCCCTGGCTAAACCACCCTAGCCAAATTTCTATCTAACCTGTTCTTGAAAACTTCCAGAGATGGAGAGTCCACAATTTCTCTAGGTAGCCTGATCCAATGCTTGACCACCATCATAGTCAGAAAGTTCCTCCTAATAGCCAACCTTGCCTAGGGCCTGTGTGGTAGGTGAGACAACAAGAGAAAAAGAATAAGCCTTTGAGTGCCATCCTGGATACAAGAGCCATGCCACTTATCTTATATTCCTTACAATGGGCTGGTAGCCTTCCAGTACCATTGCTAATTACTTTCAAAGACTGAAAGTGCTTGTGGGGAGGAGAACGTATAGCTGCATACATCATGGGTATCAGGAGGAGCAAACCTGCCACTTTTCCCATGAAAACAAAAGCCTGTTGGAGGGACAGGAGAATTTCATTTTCTGTGAGATGGTTACAGACTTTGAGGTCCATCCACAGAAGAACATGTATGCATAGGGACAAGGTTGGTGTTATCATAGAAACTCTTTGATACACCCGCTTTGCAATTTTCAAAGGGGCTATAGTGGGCTAGGTGCCCAACTCTTCTTGAAAACTATTTAAATGTATGTGCAAACCTCCCAAGTCTAAATATTATGGCTGTATTAAGGTGTAATGACTTTCTACTGAATGAGTGCCTCTGAATGAGTGATAGGAATAAACCAAGCTCCTGGACCCACTCTCTGCCTTTTTGGGTTTTCAAAATCTAGTCTCAGGTACACATTCTGATGCTTGTATTCCCTTGCTAAGTTTTAAAGTACAACAGAGCCCCTTGGTTGGTGGAAAAGAAATCAAATTTGTCTGAGCAGCATTATATCAAACAGTTTACTGAGCAGAATCTGTTTAGTTTGCACATATCAAGAACGAGCATCAGAAAACATAACATTCAATTCAATCAAATTATATTTTAGATTTAACAAACCTATTTAAATATATGTACAGTATTTTAAATGCTGTCCTTAGTCAATAGAAAACCTACTTAAATGCCAAATTATAGATTGCGTATCATTAAAAAAAGATTTGCTGGAGGTACAAAGAAACACTGAAGATGTATGAGAAACTAGAAATGCAAAGAGAAAAAAGTCAAGCATGCTTTTCACAGAGTTATAACCATTTAAAGTAAAAAGGCTTCTGCCTTCCTTGACTCCAGAGAAAAAAAAGTGATCACAAATTACATAAGACAACTATAGCTTCTGCCCAGGAGCTATAGTGTTGAGGTATTAGCCATGTTGCTGCATGGGGAGGAAAGTGTATGTGTATGTGGCTCAGGTTCAGAACTGAGCCCTCTCAAACAAGAGGCACGGGGAAGCAATTTCGAATCTATACTTATTCTAATTCCTGGTTGTTTGAATTCTTATCACAGGAGCAACTGTGGGTTTCAATTAAGATCCAAGCTCCTTGGTTGGACCGTTCCTTTGGCAGATCGATGCACCTAAAGGAGGATGAAATCACAGGCAGTTCTTAGCAGCCTTGACTTACACTAAACTTGCACACTCTTTTGGCAATGTCCCAGCATGCTAAACACCACTGCAGGTTTGCTTGGGGTAGTAACGGTAGCAGCAGTGAGCCTAGGCATTTTTATCATCGAGTGATCTGGAACATCTCTGAGCAGGGATGGGTGGCATGGTGGTTAAAGTGTCATTACCCTGAGTGCGCTAGCGATTGATAGAGCTGCATTGATCTACCACTGCCTTAGAAACCTGGGCGGTCAGAACCTAAGATGGAGAAGCTTATTCATGCCCTTAAGGACATCTTGGTACCATTTTTATTGGTATTGATTTAAAGAGGTTAATTAAGGCTGATGTCTTCTTCAAAGAGGTGCTGTCAGGAGGATAGGGAGTGTTGAAAGGTTTCTATCTGCCACCCAGCTGAGATCATCCTATTAGTGAAGAAGCTGCAGAACCCATCTGGTCCATTGTCTCTCTTGAAGCCTTGCAGTCTCTTGAGCTACTTAAAATCAGGATCTGCGCTGCAACCTGAAGCCATCACCTCTTGCTGACATTTCATACTGGAGAGGAGATGAAGAAAAAAAAACATGAAAGAGTTGGTGGGTCAGAAAATACCACCCTCCAAATGAGTCCTGCTGGAGCCCTTCTGCGTAGCATCAACTTCGACAGAAAACGAAACACCTTTTGAAGCAACTATATTTTGAGACAAATTCTCACTGGTGAAAAGTTAACTTTCTTGATAAGCAGAAGTCCAACCAAAGCTGTACCTGTATGGCTCAGAGCACATGGTTAATTAGATGCTTAGCTGAATGAATTAGATGCTTTTTCATCAGCAGCTTTTTGTATGATATGCGCTGCCAGACTTACCATTGTTTCTCACCTTCCGGGATTAGGATTCAGTTCAGCAAAGCATTTTAAGCACATGCTTGAAGTTAAGCACATGAGCTAATTTTTAATTCAGTTGAGAAGATGAGGGCTTTCCTGAGTTGGATCCAAAATCCTTGTCAAAGATCTGCAAATAAGTGCTGTCCTGCCAGCGTGCTTTTCTCAGCCTGGGTGCAGGGCACAGCACACGGAGATCTTTTACTGATCTCCATCATGTTCTTTATGTATGAAGAGCAGCCACCTGAGTGCCACACGACTCAGCAGCTCAACTGCTGAGCAGAAAGAGGCAAAATACTTTGAATAAAACACAGGCAGTGGGTTTCATCATGCCAGGAAACCTCCACCTACATAACGGGTCTCTGCTTTATAGATCTCCCTGTGCTGTTCTAAAACGATGGGCGAGACTCTGCCCTTTAAGATACCTTTGCAGCCAACCTTGGGCTGTTCCAAGGGCTGAAGCAGCCATAGGTGTGAATGTCTAAGGTCATGTCTAAGGCTATGTCTAATGCTGCAATCAGAAGGTGCAAGTGCAGTAGACACAGACTGGTTTTAATCTACCAAGAGCGGGGTAGCTGCAGCACTCAGGCTTCAGCTGCCAAGCAAGTATCCCCTATTCGGACATGGGGCAACGTGGGAAGGAGGATGTCTCTGACAGAGCAATTCTCACCTTTGATTGCAGTGCAGATATGCCTGATATGACAGCAGCAACTCTGGGTGACCCCACCTAGACACCTACCTTCCCCCCCACAAGACACCCCCACACTTGGAGCTTAGAATGGGGTCCTCAGAAGACAGCCTGGAGCGGTCTTCTTCAGCTCCTATGCTGAATATTTACCCTGTGGATCCAGGGCTGTTCGATCACCTTTTGCCACTCCCAACATTTTTCCTAGCGTATGAGTGCTGGGGCAGAGGTGAGGACTTTGCTTACTGTCTTTGGCACTTTGTCTCCATTCCTAGAGTCAAGGTACACAACCCTCATAACCATGCACAAATCACTTACGTCATCATCATACTCGTAATCCTTCTCGGGAAGGTAGTTCCTATTTGGTGGGTTCGCTGCGTAAGGGTTACTTCCCTCAAATCCTTGGTTTGCTTGACCCATATTAGTTTTGATCCTGGGGAAGATTCTGCCCCCCGCCTCAACGTTGCTGCCAGAACTTCCATTGGATATTTCTTCTGCATTTCGCTTGTTCAAGTTTAGCAAATGTTTCTTCTCTGGATCGGATTTCCTTGTTGTTCTTTAATGGGAAGAGAACATCTTATAAGCAGCTTTATTTTTTAGTTGCCTCTTAAGTTTTCCTCACCCCCTTTCTCCATGTTCTTTCAGTTCAGTTGTGACGTCTGCAGTGAAAGCCATTATTGCTGCCAATGGCTTTTGCCCATCTTTGTGAAATATGTCCACCTTAGGAGGGCTTTTCACAAAGGGTGTTTATACACGTGCTCTGGCTTTAATTAGACTGTCTTGTGTATTATGGCAGCAGGGGTGTTTTAACTAAAGCTCCCCCACCACCATTTTTCAGTGTAGGCATGCTAATACATGAGATGCTGGAGCCCACTGGTATGTCAGCATAAAAAGACATACCATGCTCCAGTAGACTCAATTGAGTCTGCTCCAGCACACTGTCATTACAGCACATTGGAGCAGCCTTGCTGCACATGTGAAGGTGCCCAAAGACTGTTGTCCTGCCTCACTCCAAGGGTGGGGTGAGAGCAAGGGCAAAGTAGCTGTGCTTGAATGGCTTCTTGACATCCTTCTTGGCCAAATAGTAGGTAAGGTCCATAGGAGCTGGCATGGGAAAGGGGCTACTGGGTCACTGTTTCTCTATATCCAGTAGCTGGGAATCCCATAGAAGGAGTACAAAGACCATGGCTGCCGTCCTTGCCCTTAGACTCTTAGACCAGCGAATAGCTACCATGGAGGGTATTGAACCTGAGCTCCAGAGTCCAAGCTCTCTCAGTTCCCTTCAGTTTAAGTTTTCTTGGGTTTGGGGCAAGAATATGAATTTACAGGCATTAAGTACATACGGCCCAGTTCAGTCCTGTGCACACATTTTGAAGACCAGACAGACCTCCAGGCTCAAATTCTCAACCACGTGAGCACATATTTGTTAGGGGAGCTCACAACCTGCCCATGAGGGGAATAAACACACAGCTACTAGTACAAATTTCCCAGCAAAATTGAAGTAATGGTGTGTCCATTTAGTATGTCCATATGTGTCCACACCTGCATGTGCAGCCTGAGACATCTTCCCCTTCTCTGTGAAACTCTGTCTCATTCTGTCCGTAAGAATTTAGCACAGCCTCTCCTTTTAAATAACCACAAAGCAATTATCGTACCTCACTGATAAGTAAATGACCACTGAAAGTAAGATGAGGATAGCGGCCCCAAGTACGCAAGCCAATATTATAACGATCAATAGGAAATCTGAAAAAGAGAGAGGAAAATGAAAAATTCATAGTGAATACTGAAAATGTGAGTGCCTTTCATTTCACTTAAGAATAAATGAATACATTTTGGAGTAAAATCCCATCAGAACACATTTTCTTTGTGTATTAATTGTTAGGGCATTGAGTGAGATCAGCAGTGGGTTTTTTTTACACTTATATAGCATGACATTTCTTTGCTGTGTTTCCCCTTATGCAATGGCCTGCAGAGCGACACAGACGGGAAAACCAACTGTCCCGTGTCGTAGCCGTGCAGCTCTTTCTCCGTAGCTCATGGTAAATGCTCAGAGGTGGCAAACTCCTCCTAAATGCTGTTCAGAAATGCATAGGAACAGGAACGTATCTGCTAACTGTGGTCAATAAAATAAAATATCCATCACGCTTTACTGCTGCAGAGCCATCATGACTAACAAAAGAGTGAGCTGTAGTCTGTACTCCCTTGTCCATGTTATAACAGAATTGGCCAGTTAAATCTAGTGAATTAGTCCCATGTCACCACTAGGAAGATGCACGCTTCTCTGTTCATTTCTGGTTGCTTTCTCTATTTGAGTGGAGGACTTTTGCATCCTCACTCATCCTTCCCTATTTTTTTTTTATTAACATGCTGGGGTTGTGTCTCCGTAACTGCTGCTATTGTACATCCTGCACAGCAGCTCCACAGATTAGACATTGCTGGAATTCTTGCTATTAAATAGAAAGACTCTTTTTGACATTAAATGAAATAATATCGGCATAATAAAGGTATTAACTAAATAAACAGTTAGAAACTTCTCTACTCACTGTTCTCACACTCTACTCCAGAATAGCCAACAGGACATCTAAGGGATAGGAAACGAAAACAGATGTCATTTTTATTCAATTCAAGCAAGCACCAAGAAATAAGGAGCCACTAATGTCAACCATCCCACCACCATAATAGATTTCACACTTGTCATCTGAACTCAAAATCCATGTTGTTTCTCTAGGCAGAGTTACAAGTAAGAAAAATAACTGAGGAGCACCAGTATACCTTTTTCAAGTAAAATCTCTTCAGCCAAAATTTCCAGAAACGACTAGCAATTTTAGGCAAGAATCTTTTTGACATTAAATAAATATTAGTCCCCTTAATATCACCCAATTTTCCAAGCACTCATCTCTGAAATCAGGTTTCTTTTTTTAAGGGACAAATTGTTTAAAGTGGGTACCCACAAGTGAGGCACTGATCATTTGGCTGAAATGATAAATCGCTTGTAGAAAACTTGGCCGGGGGTTATCGAAGGTTTTTTTGGGCATCTGATTGCTGACATCTTTTCATTTTTTCACCCTAATGCTGCCAGTTTGAAATAAGGCTGATGTGAGCATTACATTTTCTGGGAAAGCGGCAGAGTTAAAAGGAGCCGGATGCACAGCCTGTTCGCAGAGCGACTGTATGGCTGGTAACGTGGGCAGCTTCCCCCTCTGTTCCACTAATGGGTTTCAACCCTGCGCTGGAGGAGACACTTTTCTGAGAGACCCACGCAAGATACCCAGTGCCTAATCCCCATGGCCCTCTATGGAGGTTCTCCCATTGATACAAAGCCACATATCTGCCCAGCGTGCATTGATGACTTCACGTTATTTAACTTGAATAGTTTCAGACAGCAATATTGTCAGGTCTACTCTGTTTTAAATGTGGTGTTGCCTTTGGGCAAGCTTACAAAACAGCTGAGTACTCACGCCACACATTTTGACTCTTGTAATTTAAAATCAGGAAGGCAACTGCAAATTGGAAAACCCGTCTTGTTGTAAGTGCAGTGTTCGTTGTTTTTGCTGGTGCACGTGCTGCGGCAATCTGCGTTTCCAATAGAAAAAACATAAGGTGACCTTAAAGAGAGCCTGAAAATGGACATTTTGATATAGGGAGTTAATGATGCAACATGTAGAGATTGACGTTTTCAGCCAATACCGAGGTGCATGGCAAAACCCACGTTGGTTTTACTAATCTTTGGGAAGCTCTTCATCCCGGGCAGGCTGAGGAATATTGTTGTTTTGTATATAGAGTTATACACACATACAACTAGACCCTAAGTAGAAGCACAAAGCAAAAGGTCAGTCCTTGCTTGGACCATCAACACAGCCAGGAATTAAAATTTGGGTGGATTCCATGTGCAGGCGACCGGGCAATGACCAACGGTCTGATGTCACAGCAAATCATTCATAATGCCTGGGTGCAAACTGAACAGAAGACTATGGCCTTCTCGGGCCTAGTCCAGAAAGCACAAATATTTGCATAGCCTCACGCACAGCATGAAATAATAGGGAGAAGCCACATGCCACAGGAAACCCTTAACCCTTATGAAGCCCAGCCGTGTCCTCAGAGGCAGTCATAGCAGAAGGAGCAGACTGCTGCTCCCTTGAAGCTGGGTGAAGTCCGCTAAGGCCCAGCTTTGCCTCCAGGTCCTGTCCTGGCTCCTACCTACTCTTGTTTCTGGTACCCTAGCTCTGAGTCACACAGAAGTTTTGGGCTGGTAGGGACCTCGTGAGATCATTGGTCCAGCTCCCCAGCTCTGGGCAGAAAGGACTGCTGGGAGTCTATCCCACATGAACCATAAAGAAGTTTGTCCTTATATCCAGTCTGAAACCTTCTTTTAGGAGTTTATGACCATTACTCTTGGTTTTCCCCTGGGGCGCTTTGGTGAATAGTTGCTCGCCTAGCCCCTGATGCTCTGCCCTGATATATTTGTAAGCTGCCACCAAATCCCCGTGACATCGTCTCTTTTCCAAGCTGAACAGTCCCATATCTATCAGCCTTTCCTCCTTCAGGCCTCTAATCATACGAGTGGCTCTTCTCTGGACTCTCTCAAGTTTCTGATGTTGGGCTTCAGCTCCTGATCTTTGGTTTCTTTGCCTGATTTCTGCTCCATGCCAGAACCCTGATAGCCACGCCGCCCTAGACATTTCTCAGGACTGCCTCCTCCACAGCTATGGCTAGGCTCCTGAGAATCCCATCCATACAATTCACAATACCTGGTGTGGATGCTAAAGCCTCAGGTATTGGAAGCCATCTATTATGTAAGAACTTCAATTGCTTGGCAAAGTGACGCTAAAATGATAGCAATAAAGTTTCTAGCCATCACAGCTGGAGGAAACAGCTTGAAAACGTGACTGTAATTCATAGGCACCTTAATAGGGCTCCCTTTTGGACCACAGATCCAGCTGAGAGAGAATAAACCCCATCCACTCACTCCTCTTGAGTGCACTGAGTAGATGGCTTGGAGCATCCCAGGACGGACCAGAGGCTTTCCATCTCATGGGAGTTAAAGACGGCTCTGGGAGAGACTCTGGGGTCCAGTCCGAGCTATAGGGGCTGCTCCCAAGCCATGCACTTTTCCATAACTGCACTCTGCCATGCGCTCTGTCAGTGCTAGACCCAGGATTGGAAGAGAAGGCATATAGAGAAGCCTTGACGTTTAAAACAACTGATGGTAACTGAAGACACTGTGTTTATTATCTGGAAAACTTTGTGATATTCAAGTTCTCGTGGTTTGTGAATGTGGTGCGTTGGTAATGCTGGCTTAGACAGCAGAGCTGTCAAGGTGTGCAGTATGCAGCAATAAATACCAGCTTGAAAACCCAAGGCAACCTGGCAATGAAATGGTAGGAGTAGGAATAGGGGAAGTAGCCAGGCTGATGGCTGCCTGAGAGGTGATGAGGAAGTGAATAAAGCTGAATAAATGGGGGGGAACCTCAGACCCCAAAGACATCAGCAGGCAGGCAACATAATAATACCAAATCCTGCTGGGAAAAGAAGGGAACTCTGATTCATCAACACTGTCAACATGAAAAAGGCCTGTGGTTTGTGAACTACTGGTGTGCACCATCAGGTCCCCTGTTCTCACAGGCCCCTGAAGCACTTGCAAGGGGAGAAGCCTATCTAGCTATTCTAGGGCTATGTGAGTCTGTTATTTATTCAGTGATTTAGACCCTGAGGTCCGGTCCACACGCAGCACTCAAGTAGGTAGTCCCTCACTAATTTCAAAGGTAATATCCAGAAGCTTAAACTTAGTCAAATACTTATGCATTTTACTGAACTGGAATGCAGTTGCTAAAAATGTGCTTCATTTTAAGGCAGTGTTAAAGAGATGTTGTAGCCACGATGGCTTTAAGCACGTATTCTTGCCTCTCATTTAGTTTTAAGCAAATGCTCATTGCTTAATCAGGGCCTTCACACTTGTTTTTTCAGAGCTGCAGGGGCCCGGCCTACCTGAAATCCATCTTTTTTTTTTCTTAATGGCCCTGATACAGAGTGTAACTGAGGAATAATGAAACCATCCCCGACACTTATAAAACTTGCACATTTCTTACATGAACAAACTCTGTCTTCCTGGTTCTTCTTGAATGCCCCTTCTTTGCACTCACACACTAGTAGCCCATCAGTCAATGCTTGGCACGTAGTGGTCACCGGATCACATCCATACACAGCACATTCGCTGAGCGCTAAAAGCAAAATTAAAAATACAAAGGCTGGTTAGAAAGTAAAACTTAGCATTAGCAATATAAAGCACCATGATGGCTGACTATCCTACATATTATATACTTAGTATTTCTTAAGTGTTAAGCTGCATTTAGGACAACAGCTCCCCATTTATTTTGAATGAACACTCACAGTCTTGAAGACCTTTCCCCCTCTTTCCCATCAAATGCTGCTGATCCTATCCTATCACAGTTGCTGATTTCTCATCACTCCTAACTTGATATACTGCCAAAAAGCCTTACTTTCTCCAGTCCGGAAAAGGTTCTGCTCTTCCCCAACTTTAACAAAAAGCTCTCATGAACATTTCTTCCCTTAACCTGTTTTTAAAAACGGCATGACCCCTACCCTCAACTTTTACTTCCATCTTGAATTATACTTTGGTACATGGTATTTCTGGGTCCAGATCAGAGCATATGGAGGACTATTGGTAGAATCAGACACTATATTAATCTATACAGATGTTGAACACTGTGCAACAGCATCGCTTAAAGTTGGGATAGAGGTATAATGGGGAAAGA